AAAAAGAAGTTATATTGTAATTCGGTATAAAATTAGGATAATCTAAATAAAAAATTTACCACTTTCATAAGATCGAATAGCCAAAGTTTATTCGATAATCAACAAAAGGAAAAAAAATCATTTTTAAAATTACTCAAAAAAACCTTTAAAAAATCATTCTGAATCTAACCTTGAACACATAAAATCATTTTGAATATACCTTTCGAACACACGGAGTCTTTTATCAATCACAAACTAAATTTAAAAAAATAACTTATTCCAATATATAAAAATTAAAGTAAAATAAAAATATACATATCTCGTAATCTTAAACATAACGTGAAAAATTAAAATTAACAAATTATTAAAAATTTAAAAAATTCTTTTTGAGAAAAATTAAAGAAAAAAATATGATAAATAAATTAAATAACATCTTATTTATTGAACTTGAAAATATCAAATCATATCGTATTAATTTATCTATGTAGTATGTATATGAAAAATGTCACAGCTTTGTAGGCAATTTTACCATGAACTTTTATTTCATATTATTACTTGTTCTTATTAACGGTTTACGAAAATAATGTTTGATCATTCTATTATAAGTTTTAGTATATGGTTCTATTTACAAAATTTACTTGCCGATCATATATTGAATATATATATTTTAATGATTTTATCATATGAGACACGTTTAAGAGAATACAATATGGGATTGTCTCAAACACATTCCAAATTAGTATTACTCTTAATCACCTGAAAATGAAAATCAAAAATCTACACACAGAGTTGCAACAATCGAAAAACATGTGATGTTTCTGATAGTGGCAGATCATGTAGGAAGAATATGCATTTGGACTGACAAGTTATTAAATATGAGGTGCAAGGTGGATCATATGTAAGACAGATACATAAAAATGAAGAGTTTTACAAGGTATAATTAAAATTCTTATGGTATAACCCATTTCGAGCTCAATGTTGCATAGCTTTAAAGAAAAATTTAAAGAAAAATTTGTATGCTCAAAATAGATAATATGTGTCATGAACTTAAATAACATGTCATGTTTAAAAGGCATCAACATTGTCTTTTTTTTTAAAATCAAAGATATATATTAGTATTACGTAAATTCTAAGGTTTTATAAAATATCCTAAACGCAAGTACAAATGGTCATGAATATTAAATGTGGAATGCAACTATACAAGTAAAGATTTTACCTTTAAAAACACATAAAACCAGTTATAGCAACAATAATGACCCATCAGTCTCACATATGTTGAAGTTGACTATATGATTCCCACTTATTCAGTTAACTTCACGTCCTATAATCATTATACTAAATAAATTAAAAGTGAAAAATAAGCTAAAATATGTACACAACATTAATACAAAGAATTTATAGGTCATGTAGTTTTAGGACTACGATTATTAACTTTCACTTACAATAACTTCTATCGGTGCGTCTCTAGGTCAAGATAGAACTAGCTAATCTCAATAAAACCATAATGATTCTAAAAAGCTCACCTTTAATGGACAATTGGACATAATTAAAGGGTTCACCGTTATAAGAACAGAAAACCCCTTAATTAGTGTCATATTTATACAACAATAACAAGACAAGTAGTGAGGAGCAAGAAATACCTGAAAACTAATATTTACTTTGTATGCTGCAACTTCATAAAAGCAGAAACTGTATCCACAAAGCAATATAGAATTTGAAGCATAGACGCAACTTTTATAGAAACAACTTAAATACACACACAACCCAACATGATCTCAAAGTCAGTAAAACTACTCAACAAGTCGAATTTTACAACACCGCTAGTAATTCATATGCACAACTTGGTCGATGAAATACAAACCATCTCCATTCAGAAAAGGGATCCGACCTATATCACAAAGGTTCTGGCACCCCACAACGATGACACTATTAAGGGTGTGGCTGAGTTTTAACCAAACTAAGTCATTATATAAAGTCATTCACCAAAATAATATATTTTTCTAAAATTTTACAAAACTAGTATAAACGTATTCCATAATAACGTTTTAAGATATATTTTATTTTTTAAAAGTTGATGGCGTCAGATCGATATACGTTACTCACAGTAACGTTTTAGGAGTAATAAAACGTTACTGAAAATAACGTTTTAAAAGTAAAACGTTACTTACAGTAACGTATATCAACCTAATATTGTTAGTTTTTAAAAAATAAAATATACCCTAAAACGTTACCATGAGATACGTTTATACTAGTTTTGTAAAATTTTAGAAAAATGTATTACTTTGGTAAATTGTTTTATATAATGACTTAGTTTGGTTAAAAATTGGGTGTGGCTTCCCTTATACATGCTCACAAATTTGTTGTGACGTACTGAAAACTCCTAATCAACTGCAAATGGCTCAGACTCCTCCCCTTGCATAGCCGAAGCAATGTTGAACATCTACATTGCAATGCGCGGAAAGGGAAAGCTCTTGTCCACCTAAATGAAACCCTGCGAATAGAATTTGCCTTCAAGAAAGAGGATAATACACTCATCTCTTTTAAAATCTATTTAAACAACAGACTGCTAATGAGTAACATGTCTAAATTTGTATGCCCGCTCCACATAATGATGGCCTAGAGCATTCCCCAACTTGGAAGCAATTGCACGTTGCTGATAAGGTTCTTCAGCCTTAAAAAAAGCCTTCAACGTAAACTTTGAAGCAAGTTCCCGACTAAAGTCGTTAAACGTTCTTCAGCTTAGTGCATGTCATGGATGGAAACTGAATGAGGAAACAAAGATGTGAGGTCCATACTTCTCATCGATCCCAAACTTTGGGTAATGCATACGAGCCCACTTCAACACAAAATCATAGACAACATCATCTGATGAAAGACGCCACCTCAAACTTGTCAGCTGCCATCAACACATCAACAAGACCACTTGGTGTTTTACTTGATAAACTATTGCAATACATAAACTTCAACACGCGACTTCTTCTACTCAAAAAAATTGACAAATATATAAAAAATTATAAATATGGAATTAGTTGTGTTTTTAATATTTTTACTGTCCTGTCTTAATTGAATTTTTTTTTTAACATTTGCAAGTGTTGCATGTCCAGAAATTTTTTCTCTGCGTGCTGGTCGCACGCTCGGGCTCTCAGCGGCACTTCCGCATGGTGGGTTTTTGAAGCTGCTGCCTCTCCGCGCGCCGGTCACGCGCTTGGGTTTCTAGTGGCACACCCGCGCGACATGGATGCGTGAAATCATTAAAAGGAAGGTATTTTTGGAATTTCGAAGAGAAACCTATGCCATATGATGTTGTAGCTTCCCCATGGCTAATCATAATCGATAAAGGATAAAAAAGAAATGCTAGGTTATGGAGAAGAGGAGGGGGAATACATGGTATACTCTTCAAATCCAAAATGGAAGTTGGAATTCAAAGTTTGATTGCTATGTCTTCTTTTTTCATCTTTGTTCTTAGTAAACATATTCTCATCCATGGAGTAGATTCTTATAGGGTATTTGACAAACATGTGGTATTGACGAATTTGTTGAGATTTTTATTTTCATTTTTATGTTTGAACTTGTTCTGGGAACTTGAATTAAATTACAACCATGTTCATTATTTTATTTAATCAATAGAGGAATATCCTAGTGAACATTGTTGCATAGTTTTGTTGGATTAACTCCATATATTTTCTCTAAAGTAATCGAAGGAGCTTGTTGATGATTATAATTAAATTTGAAAGAAAAATAGTCAAAAGATGTTACTTCCTTAAGAACAATCATTAACATGTTTTTGCGTATTAGAATCACTGGGTATAATTGGTTTATTCTTTAACTTGAGATTTACACGAAAGAAAAATCTAAGGCTTAAGGATTCTCTAATAACCTATCTAATTTGAGGGAATCGATAGAACTTTAGATGTGATAAATGATATGTAGTGAAATCCCACCTATCATTATGCACTTTTTTAGTCTAGTACCCTATCTTTTAGTATTGACGTTAAACTTCATAATTACCAATTGATTTTAATTATCACTTAGTCTATAAAAGTGGTACATAACCACAATCAACTCTTTACTTTTGATCACCTGAATAATAGTTAGCAAGATTTGATGGAATTATTATTTGTATCAATCCCTTTGGAAACGATCTTTATACTTTACTATGTTTGACTAGCGAAGCACTAAACTTATAGTTTGTTTGTGATCGTCAAGGTTATGGGTTAGATCTATTTTTCTTATTCTTGAAATATAGGATGGAGTATGGTATTGAGTTTAGTATTGACATTTAGATAAGACCGAAAGAGACTCTAGGCATAGATACTCTGAGATCGAAATATGAATAGCATTATTGAAGATGACTTAACCTATTTATGTATGTAATCCACTATAGAGCAGCACAATCACTTTTATGTGACATTGAGAAAAGAGTTATAACTTTTTAAAATGAAGCAAGCAAGGAAACTAAGATTTCCAAGATAGCAGTGAGTTAAGTTTTAAGCACTAACCTCAAATCACAGGAGAAGTATGTTTGAAAAATATAAGAGCCAGTACACTTTGGGAGTAGTATTGAGCACCGAATTGGGGACAAGCATGATTTAAGATAACTCACATTTCCATAAAATCATGTAACCATCATTGGTAGAAAAGGGTCATACTTTTTAGATGAATCCTTTTCACAATAGATTACTGGATCCATTAGGCAGTTCAGGTCTTATACCTTTGGTTGGGTATAGGATGCACTGACAGCTTGAGGTAGATCGTTCTATCATCATTATAGCTCTTATGTGATATAGGCCTGTGCAAAAATTGGGGCAAACCATTTACCCAAACCGATTTTTAATTTATTAGGCTAATGGGTCGGATTATTGGGTAATTGGTTTGGGGCTCGGTTCAGGAATTATCTTTATTGGATTAACGGTTCGGGGGTTGAGTTGGCAAGCCAAAATTTTGGGGTACCGATACCCTAATAAGACACATATTTTTTTATTCCTAAGTTTTACAATTCTCAATTAGGGGATTTAGGGTTTTTAATTTTTAGGAATTAGAAACCTTTTCAGTTCTGGACTTCTCGTTCTCACTGCACTTGCTCTCTCGTTTCTCTCAAAATTCCAAACTCCAAAGATTCAACCATCGAAGCGACTTGTTGCTCCTGTCACTCAGGCGAGGTGATGAGTCTAACCAGCGAGGTGAAGAGTCTAACCAACAAGTCACAATTTTACTCTAATAACTCAGGTGCCTAGCGAAGCGACAACTACTCTAGTCAGGCAGTCACTCAGGTGAGGAAGCAAGGTAATGATGACACCTCAAGGCTCAATGAGTTATGAGTTTTTCTTAAAGTCCAAATCTATTTCGTCATGCATTCGTGCTGATTTTTTAGTGCTCAAAATTTCAGAAGTTAGAAGTTCGACTGCTCGAGACTTCGAGTTTTACTCTTCTCAGTTATCACGACTTCTACACAGTCCTACTCGGCTTACTCCAGTCTCACTGTCTCAGTTTCTCAACCTTTGCAATTTGTAAGTCTAAATTGCACTTTAATCACGACGTTTGGAATTGAATAATGAGAAAACTACAATTGAAATAGTTGAATATGCATTATTGTTTTATTTGAATTGACATTTGGTTTGAAACTTTGGCTCATTTGGTTTTGTTGTTTTACTGTACTTGTAGGAAAATATATAGATTTGTTTGCTTGCCAATGTTGAGGCTTGTACATTACTGTAAAATTTTAATTGTTAGTAATTTGTCTGTAAAGACGATACATCCTGCTTATGGCTTCTCCTATAAACTATGAAATTGCTTTACTATTGGCTCTGCTATCTAACCTGCATGTACACAAAATATTTTCAGATGGTTTACTGTTAAATGGATTGTGGCAAATTAAGGGTGCCTTACGGGTGTTGTTGGCTTGTTGTTGTGCTGATTGTTGAATGAGGAGGAGCAGGAGACAAGAGGTAGTTGTAGTACCTTCTCTCAATTTGTAGATAGTATACACTAAAATATTTGTTAGGTCTGCTAGTTATTTCACTTATTTGTAATTACATGCTAACCTGTAGGCTTATTTCATTTTTCAATAGATGTTTGTATGTTTATTGTCTCGTGTCTTATTATTATATTGTATTTATGCCGATGGAATCATGGATGATTGTCAATTGAAATACATTATTTTGATCATGTTTTGTTGAATATAACATATTCTTTTTTTCTGTGCATTCTTTTGCCTTCATAAATCTGCAGCAAATACACTTTTCTGCTGACTGCTGAGGGAATTAGTTTAGTTACAACATCTTCAATTCTTCATGTCATTTTTATTTTGAAAATTTTGTGATATGCTAACGGTTAACCTAATAACCGAACCGATAAGGATCGATAACTGATTAACCGATAACTTAATGGTTCTTTAACGGTTTAGCTAGTCTACAAATCGATAATCGATAATGTTCAAAACCGAACCGAATAGACCGATAAGCAGCCCTAATGTGATGGTTGTCGATTAGAGAAACTCCCACAGAAGTTATTGTATGTTATATATATAGTTTATTATATGTTTACATATATCTCAGAGTTAATTGTATCTATGCATACTGATGTACCATGGTTTCACGGTACTTTCAATGCTTTTTCCTTAAGAATGGTGTGTGTCTAGAGCCTTTTTGTAGTAATTTTAACATGTTTTTATCTTTGTTTTGTAGGAAAAGTGTCCAAAACAGAAACGCATAAGGTTGTGAGATTTAGTGCAGAGGTGACCCACGAAGGCCACCGAGGAGCGTAGAAGGTGACCGCCTACTGGAAGTTCAGGCATCTAACTCGGGGAAATCTGACCAAGTGTGGGGATACGGAAGGATCGGTGGTCCGTCCTATTAAATCGTTGATCTGATAAGAGAATATCCCAGTACCCGAAGTTGAAGAAAATCTAAGTATGGAACGATGGAAGGCATCGACGGACCGTGTTGTTGGTCCGTTAGTTGAATCAGAGAATATGCCAGTTGAAGGATTAAAAAAAGATGCTAAGTCTGGACTTACGGAGGCAGTCGACGGTCCATCGTTTCATCGACGGTCCGCCGTTTCATCGGCGGTCCGTCTGTGGGGGTTGTCGATTAAAGCCGCGTTTTTGGAAAACATTCCTTATTTGAATTCCTTTTAATTTAGGACAATATTTTGTTATAAATATGGAATAAAACCTCGTTTTTGGGGTTGAATTCTACTACTACTTTTCTTAGTTTGTTTTTGGATATTGTGTTTTGCAACTTTAGCATTAATTCAAATTTTCGAATTTGGTTTTCAGGTGAATTATTGTTGTTCCAAGTTAAATTTCTGGATTTTCTTTGAATTTATCAAAGTAAGTTCATGATTTATTGTTTATCCAATATGAATTGTGTTCTTCTATGCATGTGTAACTAAATCCATAGGTAGGGTTGTGGGAACCATGGGTGATTAACAAAGTAAACCTAGCTTAATAACAATTCTCAAATAGATTGTCGCATGCATTGATTATTCTTTCACTTAAAAGTCTTTTTAACGAGTGCACGCGTTATAGCTTGCCTTATTGCTACTTGCCGGACCAAGGAGGTAGTTGTTAAAGTATTATTAAGGAGTTGTAGTAGTAACATGGCAAAAGAAGGAAGATGTGTGTCTTATTTGCTGAGTTCGAAATGTATAA